TACAGTATATATATATATATATATATATATATATATATATATATATATATATATATATATATACAGTATATATATAGTATTTCAGTCTGGCGAGTAAACAAAAAAATGTACTAGCCAATGGCGATTCAATTGCCAAGGTGTCCATAGCGGGCTGTGAATGTTTTTAATGAATGGATGTTATAATACAAATAGCAATGTGTAACATTTTACCATATTTAGTGCACTTTTATTTGTTCCCGAAAAAATATGGTTTTTTCACTAAATGTTTGGATTTCTAAAATTATTGTGCACTGATTTTTCTAGAATAACTTTTGCTGCCAAATCTCATTAATCCTTGGTGCGCTTTATATTGTTCTTATTAGTAGAATTTGTATAATAATAATATCTTACCAGTATTATTGTTAGTTTTTTTTTCCTTCAATTTTTTACAGGAACACTGAATGACCAAAAAAAGCACCAGTCCTAAGTTCATGGTTTTATATATACAGTATATATATATATATGTGTTTGTATAGTGGCACAGCTATATATATATATATATATATATATAAGTATAGTATTTCAGTCTGGCGAGTAAACAAAAAAAATGTACTAGCCAATGGCGATTCAATTGCCAAGGTGTCCATAGCGGGCTGTGAATGTTTTTAATGAATGGATGTTATAATACAAATAGCAATGTGTAACATTTTACCATATTTAGTGCACTTTTATTTGTTCCCGAAAAAATATGGTTTTTTCACTAAATGTTTGGATTTCTAAAATTATTGTGCACTGATTTTTCTAGAATAACTTTTGCTGCCAAATTATCCACTAACCTAGTTTATGATAAATTTTTGTCATAGATTATAAATATACATAGGCCTATATTTTTTCATATTTATTGTTTATTTTATTTTTCTTTATAATGAAGTAGTCTGTATCTAGTAGATTGTGAAAGAATGATTATCAGTTCCACACACAGAGATATATTAATTCTACATTTATTTAAATGGGGGAAAAAAACTTCACTGTATCGGATCGATATCGGCCAATACCGAACCCTAGTTATCGGAATCGGTATCGGAGGCGAAAAAGGCAGATCGGAGCATCCCTAGTTTATACGTGAAATTCCGGAGGGGACGTCGGATGGTATCACATGGGGACGTAATGACGTGTGCCATTAATCGAACTATGTATGTAAAACGGTAACATGAAAGGAATATTCTAAAACAACTCATGTAAACACCATAATCATAATATTGGCTTATTAGAATAAGGTAAATAATTAGATTACTGATGTCCATGTAAACTTAGTCAGTAGTGTCACAAGCTCAACATGGGTTTAAATTTAGTAGCATCAGCAGAAAACAAGGTCACAAAATGTGACCATTTGGTCACAGACTGGAGCCCTGAAGAGGCTTTTTGACAAGCCTTTCCTTGTTTCAACCTAGCAATTGTCACAAACTGAACAAAATGTTTTAAGGTCTATTCTTGCGTTCATGAAGATGAAGTTCTTTACTGTGGTTTGTCAAAGAGTGTCCGAGGGATGGTAAAAATTAAAATAAAAACTCTGAAGATGTACTAAGTGAAGGATTGATAGTATACTTGCCCTAGATTTAAAACCTGCTCACAAGTGCATTTGGTTTGGCCAGTACACATCATACACAACATTCAAAACTTTGCTTCAGTTATGAATCATGCAATGCTCTCCTCAATTCCCAATCAAATACAGTGTGAAAGCTCTCTCAACTATTCCTTTCTCTTTTGTGCCAGGATGCTGACATCCGATTCTGCAGAAAGGTGTTTATGCATTCCTACAGCATATTTTTCAACAGGACATAGCTCCTGCGACACTATAGTCATGCTAAAGCCTGGGTGTTTTTGCTTCTAATGAAATGGGCTAAAATGCACTGTGGGATTTTTTTCCCCCTTAATAAGAAAAAGCGGTCTGCATTTGCATTGATTGCAATCATTGTGATACCCCTCACGTATCTCATAATTGGATCGTAGATGATTCTAA